AATTGCTTCTTTCGTTTTGATGAATATATGTGATATGGTGATAGGAGTAAATGGTTTTAAAAACTCTGTAACCACAACACAAATTTTGCATACAAAGAATACTAGGAACCTAGTTTTGGTCGTCTATGTGCGTTTTGCTCTCAGGTCTAAACATAAGTGATCCAGGTTGCTGTAGGTGGTCCATAACTAGCAGAAAAGAGTGTTGTCGGTGGTTAGAATGGAACAGACTGAGAGAATTATCGTATAGTGATTGATAAAATGTCTGAATTCAAAATGCAGGACGTTGTTAACAAAAGACATGAAGATAATGGAGAATTCAATTTCACAGAAAAGAAAACCATACGTGGGAACTCCGAGTTATTACACTACAAGACTCAACCATGACCGCCATTGGCTTGAGATTTCAAAATTTATAGTCTCAAAATGCGAGAGAATGCGAATTAGGGAAGACTAAATGATGTAATAATTGAATTCTACAAATATTTGCAGCCATTAACTGGAACGACTTTTTAAAGTGGTTCTCGATGTGAATCACGAATATCTCAACAACTTCATGGAAATAATACTTGTTTAATAAGTATGATGTGAAGATGCCAATATTCGCTCAATATTGCCGTGGGTAAACCGGAGGAATCGGGTGATCCTAATCCAAAGATCAGATAACACCATTACCGTCGGGATTTTTACAGACGGCCTAATCCCGTAAACTCAACCGGAGTCACTATGAAAAACAGTCATAATAATTGGGAGGACAGACAATGATGTCGATCTCCGGCTGGTTAATTGTTTTATTGACCTCTGAGAAAGAGTAATAAAGACACCTGCTGCCTGGCTCCACGAAAAGAACTATATTGACACTCGGACAGATCTGTTGTATAATCGGAAGACATAATAAAAAAGACGATGGATGTAAATGAACTAGTAACTTGACCATGAACCAGTCGGGATAACCCACGACTGATGAGACTTTTGTCAGTAAGGTATTGTCAGTGAATATTGTGTGGATAAGTTGCTTCTCTAAAAAGTTTTTGCACGCCACTCTTCGTTTATGCTCAGTGACCTTCAAACAAGCGACAGTTTGGAAGTTGAAGGAATAGAGCAGCATTCCGCAAAATGTTTGTAGGAGTGAAATTCGATCAGGGTTACTTTGCTCGATACAACACATTAGGGATGTAGCCTCTTTGGAAGAGCGTAGTTGGACTTAGTCTTACATTTAACTCGAACTGATACACCACTTTTTACACCCCTTAAATCCAAATCACACTATGTTTGTCGAAATGCAGCACTACTATGGATCTAACACGCAATAAATCGTCTTCCTTCGGCAGTTTTCTCTGAATTGGGATGAGCTACCAAATAGATTATATGAAACAGACTCCGCAGGACACTTGATTCATGAGTGAGATGAAATTCTAGACGACTTCACGACACTAGAAAAGCTAGCAGACCTTAGCTTCAACAACCTAATGTCACGATAAGACAAGTAAGTCTAGACAATTGTGTGACTTAAACGTAATGTTTGTTCGTTTAGATAATTGCATCATAGCAAATTCTCAGTTGCAGAGTGGGTCAATTGTTCTGGTATCAACGAATAATGCACACAATACAGACCTAGGTCATATATCCACAAGAGTTTCCTTCGTATTTGAAATTTTTCTGTGTGCTTTTGATCAGCATTTAATTCATTAGAAGTATTGGGTTACAATGACATTAGTACTTTTCTGGATGTATGTGAGAGATCATTCTTATAGGCGTCAAAGTAACTATGAATAATTTATGACTAAGATAATTGTTGCGACTGAGTGGTTTCATTGCTAGCTTTACCTCAGGTATGTGCTCCACGTCATTGTCATTTTCGTAAGTTCACAGAAGTCAAAGAACAATTTGGCGAATAAGCGCACATGTAACTGTCAACAGAAATTCATTCACAACGTGCCTGCTGAACTCTCGAATGTGGCTTTATTCCTCCACATATAAATGATATCTCCTTTTGAAGATATTGAAGCATGAAGAGTGGATCATGGTTGATATTATTAATAACTAGATGAGTTTAAGCGAATTGACATGCCTGCCACCAGTGTGTGAGTTTCAGTCAGGGAAAATGGAAGTGGTCTTCCATGCAGTAACTCAGCACTTTTAGAAGTAATCACCGACACAAGAAATATGAACGATTTCCAATGTCAACTTATTCTAAACCAGCCTACTGCTATAGAATGATATCTGGAATATGAGTTGATACATGTGGGTAATCTCGACGAAAATATGCACCAAAATGAATGAGAAAAATGGTAGAAATAGGAAAAAGGGAAAGTTTTTAAAGTAATTCGGGTTGTTTGTTTGCCTGATTGTAGGCGGTGTAACTGCTGGATGCCTATGGTGCTTCACAGGATTTTTATCATAATTTATCATGAAAGTTTCATTGAAAAGAATTGTTTTCATCAAGGTGCCTTCAAAGGTATACCTTCATTTCGTGATGAAAAAAGTCGAACCGACATTCTCTTACTTTCTTTTAAACATCAGTGTTTTAATGATGCTATGGTAACTATATAAGGACATGCAGCCCCGCTTTGGTCGAAATAACATTGGATTTTCAGGATCACTATCATGCCAGTGTATAGATTTGAAGGCGATGTAAACATAAACTGTGTAGGTTTTTTCATTCTGCCTAATAATCCGAAATCATAAAGGTTTACTCTCCCGGAACATGGCTTATTAATCGAGACAATCTATATTTGACCATAGAGGTTTTTGGAATAACTAAAAGAACACGCTTGCTCAACGCCATATTCCCACTCCTCATCCACGAAAAGTTTTCATTCGATAAGGTTTGTTAATCTGTCCTGGATAAAATCAAAATAGACTTTTTATACCGCTCTTTCTGCCTGCAACGTTGTGGATAGATTAGAAGGTAAAACTGATTATAGTCAATCACTGTATCTTAGATTACACGGTAACAATTGAGATAAGACAGATTGCTGATGTTTATCTTGGAGGGACACTTTTAGCATATTACTCGACGAATGCTAAGGAATTTTTCTCTCCATGTTCGAAAATGTGTTTGAGAACTATTCCCAAGAGAGATTTGCTGTTGCTTAAGACGATTGATTTTCCAGTAACGCAACTATTTATCTTAACACTTTCAGGGTGTTTCCCCAAGACTAGAATATTCTGTTAGTTCTGCTATCAAATGTCACCCAGCTTCATGTTATTGCACTTGCTGTGTAAGTCTGTATTTATTCTAAGTCAACTGTTTTAGTATTCTTTGCCACAGTGCTGCTGTTATGATCCGTGAGTTTACACAGTTTTTTTCTTTCTTTAAGTTTCAAAGTACATGATTTAATACACTTCTATTATAAATGATTATTTTCAAAATGATCTTAATTGAAAACTAGTACCCTCCAATTTAACTAACAAAGGTAAACTTAATAATATGTATTGACATATGTTACTCACCTAACTTGTTAGTCAATATTTCACTCTGTAATACTTACAGAAGGATTAGAAATGTTTTGAGACTTTAGATCTTTATATTTTTATATAGTTCGCATTACTACTTACAACTGATCATTTAAAGTAAGTATGTCAACTACAATAATGAACTTTGATGAATAAAGCTCGAGTGTCATTAAATTCAACCTCGATTTTTTAGTTGTACGCCGATTTCACTTGTTGTTTATGTCTTGTACAAGACTGAATATTGTACTTCAAAAATTTAAATGGAAACATTTCTTTCCGTAAACAACTTCCACTGCAGTAAGTGAGTGATATCTTGATTCAGTCACATACGAGTAAATAAGATATTAAATGATCGCTATCTTGAAAACTGTTTCTAAATGATCAAATTTATACATCCTACTGGCGTTTGATATTATAAAGATATATTTTAAGCACTAAATATTTTTTGTCCTTCCTACCAACGACCATGTAAATAGTAAAGTCGTTAAAGTACACATGGTTGCGACAATAATGCTAGTACACCATTGAAAAGACTAGAGAAAAGAGCATAGCGCTTTAGTTAATAATTTATAACTTGATAAAGTTAGCTTTTCGAAAAGTCGAATTACTTGAAATGTTAACTTATACATTCGCTAAAAACGCTCTTTTTTATTTAATGTTAAATTTTAAGTTTTACTTTAAGCAATTATTAAACATCTGACTGATTTCTAGAAACACAGACTTACTTTAGGTGTACCAATGCATGCTTTCAGATTTTATACACAAAACAAAGTCGAAGACCAGAAGTTCTGGGCAACTATTGCTGAGTTTAAAAGTAATTTCAACCAAAAAATAGTTTGGCCGCCTTAGAAATTTAACCGCCTTAATGTGTTGTCTGTGACTATTAGCTTCATTCCTGATAAGAAGCTAAACCACATAGAAGTCAAATTTAATTTCAAGTTACGTTGTTAAATGCATTCATATAAACATTATAGAACCTTATCTTTCAGATATATTTACTTCGTAATGCATACATGGGTTTATTATTTGAACCAAAAATCAGTCTTCATACCTTCATTTCTAGTGGTAAACTGACGTAAATTTGTCAGTTGTTGTAGCTGAAGTTGTTATAGATGAGAAACCGATGAATACGAAACTGTGAGTTTGGATTCTGTAACTTGGCAATACGTTTGTCTTAGTTCTCATATGGGAGAAATTAACCTGAAAAGTACCGTTGAAATAAACTCTTCAGATCGAAGGTATCCAGTCAAAAGCTAAGAAATGACTTTTCAAAAATTTGTTAAATATTTTTACTTTTTCGTTTTATTAAACAAGAAGTAGTGTGTCAAGAGTCATTATGTATATCACGCCGCCAAATTACTTTCATTAACAATCACTAAAGTGTGTCTTTTATTTTTAGATGTCTTTACAAGCCATTAACACCGACGCCAAGTTATCATCGAGCCACAGTCAACAGTGCTTTGAGATGCCGTTATCCTGAATATGATGGGTCTAAATGCATTGTAGCATCTGATACTGCTAATCATATAGCGAAGTCTCAAAGTGCTTCAAGAACCTCCAGAAGCCCAAAGAGAGTAAGGTTCACATTACTTTTGACTAACTCCAAGCGCGTATTTTTATGGCACTTCAATGGAATAATATTCATCTATTAACATGTTTACTTTAATTGAGATAACCTAAGAATCGATTTTAGCCTTATCATGTAGTTAACATTTGTTCAGCAAAAAGATTAGTCTTTTGATTCACTCTGTTGTGTATCTGATTCTAAGGCTCTATTTTAGATTATTTCAATCATTTGTTTATAAACTTTTGGTTTTGTTTTAGGGGGCTAATGTAGATGGGCCATATTCGTACAGACCTCAGTGTCGACCAAGATCATTGTCTGCGCGTAGTCGTCAAAGTGAGTTATGTTTCGTTAACAATATTTACTATTGTTTCGTATATGTATTTTAATATATTATCTAAACAACAGTAGCATGAGTTCAGCAAAACTGGATCTGATATTGTCAAAATTTCTAGTGCAAGTATGCATTCATTGTACTAGATGTAACTGACTTTATTTTTTCAGTTATCAACGAAATGCTTGATAATTAATGCCGAATACATATTTATAAAAGCACTTGTTTTGCAATTTTGTCTAAAACTAAATGTATTCAAGAAAAAACACTGGATTGTACATAGGTACTCAGTAAATGAAAGATATTGAAAAATACATCAAGACTATGGGCAATATTTAGAGGGGTTTATCACTGAAACAAACATTAATACCAGACATTTTATAATTATTATATCTATAAGTCAGTATATTAGTTAAAAGTATAGTAAAGTTAACTGTAAATATACATTATTCCAATTTTTCATACAATCACATGGTTTCTTATGGAATAGATTCATAACAGGGAAAGTATGGAACAACGTAAAGGTTGATATTTAGACATGGATAAGATGTTGAATGTATCTTGTAAAGAATTTGTTGCCAATTTTACTAGTGCCTTTCAATGAAATCAAGGCTTTAGTAATGGATTAAAATAGAATTGAGTTTCTTATTATCATCTTAGGAGATACTTTTCAAATATTTGCTTACATTATATGTTAAAATCAAAGTGATAGTAAAGTGAGTAGTGTACTAAGGTAGTTTTGCATGCATATCTAAGGTTCGAGATTGTTAATATTCAAAGCTGCATCAGTAAATAGGTTAAAGAGTAAACATATCGAAATGTTCAACTAAATGTTGTATACGATGCCAAACTAGTGATTTGATGTTGAATATCTAGAAGATATAATCTACCCGTATCGTCTTTTGATAACCCAAGGTCCAAGGGTGGATTCGTACTGCTGACTCTGCAGAGGTATGAAGGCATTGAGATGTTTCATTAAAACAACCAGCATAACAGCTATGCCGCCTTCCCACAAGAGGGAGTGAGTTTAGAAACGGTCAACTCTAAAAATGCACACCTCACCTTATCCCATGGATATCCATCTCCGACAGTAAGATCTCAACAAGTACGGAGCTAGCACGAAAATACTCACAAAAAAGTTGTGTGTGACCGACCTCAAGCAGTTGTCCCTCGAGGACTGCAGTAATGTTCTCGGGTTATTAAGACCACTCCTAAACCAATTTCGTTTTCAAGTACCTCCAGAAGAACCCTTCCACGGTGTGGTCAACCGAGAAGTGATAACCCCTCTCATACCTCTAACAACACTCAAGATCACTATATTCACTGTATTTTGCTAACTCTCACTTCAAGATTCTCTAGAATACGAATGGGTACAAGTACTCTTTTCGTCTTCTGAACTTCGTAAACAACAATAATACGGTGAAAGGGCAATGAATAGGACTTTCCGGGCAGTGTTTGTATGCACGTGGCTATGTGAGAGCATTTCGAGAGGGAGTGTTGACTCGTCCTACTCTTAGTCGTATCAGGGAATTTCGGAGGGCACACAAATGTTCACAGTTTGGTGAGGCAAATTTCTTATTAAATTATTCGATGATTAACTGTCTTTAAACATAAATTTTCATTGAAAAACATTTCAGATTACAATGAAATTTCGGTAAGTTATATCATGATTATGATTATTATTATTTCATTATACTACTAATTTAGTATTGTCCTATATTTAGAAAAGTTAAGTGTATATTATGGAATTGAATTTGAAATGTGTAAAATAAACATCTATGTCAAAGTATCATAAATAACATTTCTTTCCTTTTTTGTTGTTGATGAATCCAGTCAGTTCAACCACAATCATTTCAGAATCTGGTACATATATCCATTGGTTTAAGTTGCTTCATCCTATCACCACACCAAGATGTAATTACTAAGTTAGATCCTTACTTACTTACGCCTGTTATTCCTAATGGAGCGTAGGCCACCGACCAGCATTCTCCAACCCACTCTGTCCTGGGCCCTCTTTTCTAGTTCTATCCAATTCTTGTTCATTTTTCTCATGTCTATCTCCAGTTCTCGGCGTAATGTGTTCTTTGGTCTTCCCCTCTTTCTTTGACCTTCAGGATTCCATGTGAGGGCTTGTCTTGTGACGCAGTTGGGTGCTTTCCTCAATGTGTGTCCTATCCACTTCTAGCGTTTCTTCCTTATTTCTTCCTCCACTTGGATCTGGTTTGTTCTCTCCCACAGTACGTTGTTGCTAATAGTGTCCGGCCAATGGATCTGAATTATTTTGCGTAGATAACTGTTAATAAACACCTGTATATTCTAGATACTAAGTAAGATAACAGATTATTAAAGGTATTAGTGGTATCAGAACAAGCTATGATCCATGTGTAAAGAAATTCGAACACTTCACTTTTAACTTAAGGTTTAGGCTGATGATCTTGTTTTCAGAAGAACAATTAAAGCTTGACGACCAAACCATCCAGCTCAGAGAATAAAACTCTATTAAAATCATCCATCCACCTAAGTTAAAGTCAGTCAGTTAGTCAGCTATAACGTTGGACCAGGCACATATATGCATCTATTCAAGTTGCCATATCGCATTGGCATAGCAAGATGAACACCGGATTCATAGCAGTGGTTATGTCAAAGGTGGTAATATATAAGAGAGAGATTGCATATAGAGATATAGAACAAGAAGAAAAAATTGGTTTGTAGAAAGAAAGGTATGAAGCGATTTTAATCTCATAGTTTAAGGGAAGACAAATAGTGTATATACCTAGGCCATTTTGATCGATTCTGAGCCATGTCACACAGGGTCTCCAACAATTGATTACAATAGTCACGCGTACCCCAACCAAGTAGTCTGTATCTACCAACATGGCTAAGGTTAGGATTTAGTGACTTTGTGAACTGATGCCACGTTTTGGTTTGGCTGCTCCTCACTTTCTTCCAACCCCCCCCCCAACATTAGTCAACATTGTGCCTCGTGTTAATCGGTGTTCAGGCATACGCAGCACGCGGCCCCAACTATCTCAGTCTATAAAGATTCACAATCTCATCTACTGATTTACCATCATCATTCCCTAATACTCTGCGATCCCACCTGAACTACAAATCTTCTTCACTATCTTAAAAGTTAACAGTTTTGTCGAACCCCAATATACAAAGAATAAATAATGAACGATAAAAATTCGTTTAATGATCATGAATCTAAATTGTTTGTTTGTTTGTTTATTTTTCTGGTTCATTTTAAACATACCATTATTGTAGTTGACATAATTCTACACTACAATATTATCATAATACCACCGTTTAACAATTAAAACTAAATACAAATCATATGACTGATACAATCTTTATTACCCATTCATTTTTAAGCCTGTTAACTCATTATCCACATGGGATCTACGTGAACGGACAATTCGAGATGCACAAGATCGCAGGTAATTTATTATTGTTATAGAAAACAAAAAAATAATGTACTTTAATGATTAATTGCATTATAAGTTCATTTATGTATGGAAGAGAAGATTCTATAGTGTTATCTCATCATTGGGAGAGGAGAAATAATCAATACCTAGACACCATGGTAACATCTTTTAGCTGGGTGATAACAATTCAGGTTATATATATATACATATATATATAATAGGAGTTATAAGTGAATTGGATAGATAAAAACACTTAGTAGGCAATGTGATTTATAATTCTCTAAGATTGATTTAAATATTGTTAATTATATAAAACATTAACTGGCTTTTATCTTGTTAAAGAGATATCATTTCAATGGTTGAAATCATGAGTCGATTGAAGCTAAACTACCAATGGAATGCTGAAAGTACTGAACGGACGTTTTGTCCTGTTGTGGGACTCCTCAGCAGTGCGTATACATGATACCACACCAAAGTGACTTGAACCCAATACCTTCAATCTTTTAGGTGAACGTTTATATTCTAGACCATTGAGTGAACATCCAATGGTGTAAATGTCTAACTCCAACTAATCTACGAAATTGAACGACACATCCAACATTGTCTTCAGTGAGTTGATATCTCACAACAGACCTGGTTGAATTCCATTGATCATTACTTCTCACTAGAAATCCAGGAAATTCCTCTTAAAGCCAATCACTAATAATCATTTATTGATTAATATCAGAAGGGGTTTTGTAGAGATTGTAGTAATTTCAATAGTTAGGATCATGAGTCAATTGAACCTAGACAACCATGGAAAACATGGAAGCACTGGATGGCACTTGGATGCGCACTGCTAAGGAGTCCTACAATAGGACGAAATGTTCGTCCAGTGCTTTCAACTTTTCCATGATAGTCTAGCTTCAATCGACTCATAATTTCAACCATTGAAAGAGATAAAAGTTGAATATGTTTAAACTTTATTAAGTCTAATTCGTAATTTCTTCAATCGTAGTAGATCAAAAGATATTCAGGGGAGGAGGGTTAATTCAATGCCTGATTCCTAAATCAGTCACAATCTCAGTAATTATGATAAAAATGATAATATTTCATGACTTTATTCAATGAATATCCTTCTATTTACAATGAAGAATGCTGAAATAAAATTCCTGTCTTCTATTGATTAAACTTGTGATTGATCAGAATCAATTCACAAGAAACCAGTGATTAAACAGTCATTCAAATTTCATCCTTAAATGTCTATCACTAGTTGAGCTACTATTTCACCTTCCCTTTTTTCGACATTTGTCGTTCTCTCAATTGATAGACAAGAAAGAAATCATACCAATCACAGTTGTAATGATAGTAACCCTCAATGGAATCTTATAACTTCATGTTAAATTATTGGCATTTTTATATGAGTATATAAGTAATACAAGTGACTAATCTAAAAAAATTAGTTGCTATGGTAACATCTAAATTACCGAAATTTACTAGGAAACTTATGCAATTAGAAACTAGGCAGTGTATACATTACCTTATCAGTTAAATATATGTTCTTTGTAAAAAGAATACCCAATTTAAACTGTAACATTGATTGAATATCATCTTCTTCATTGTTTTTTTTCTTTCTCTTTTTTTGATTCATTCTGTTACTATAATAACAACAACATCCAGTGATCGTTATTGGCATTTGTATCGATTTTGGCAAAATGAATATGATCGATTACGTTTACAAAGATGTTGAACTAAACAAACAAAATTAATGAATGTTATGTTCTTCCTTAAACAAAGAACACTTTCCATTACAGATTACTACTACTACTATTATTATTATTATTATTATGATGATGATTGAAACTTAGATCTTATTATTTCTTTGACCATATTCACTATTCAAATTAGATTTGAATGATCATTATTTAACATATAAATATGTTTATTGTTTAAATTGTATGGTTGTCAATTCATGTCAGGAATTATTTTTGATGTCAGGTATTGAAGAGATTAGACTAGTGTTCACATTTTCATTATTTAGAGATATACTACTTAATTCTATGAATTATGTATGAATTATACTACTTAAAAAAAGAAAAGATTTTCAAAACTTTATTCATGTATTTTTGTGTTTTTTTTTTTAGTTCTTTTAAACTTTTATTTTCTATATCTTAAACCATTTTATTGATATAATGTGCCTTAATTATATAAAACAATAAAAAGATGATAGAACATATAAATATACTACTGAAATCCATTTATTTAGTCAATTAAGTATTATATCAAGATTTATAAGAAGAAAAAAACGAAGATCATATTCCAATACAAAAACAACAACAACAAGAAGATTTTGAATGATCTAGTTCATATTTCAAAGAAAAAATCTATGGTATTCCTGTTATTTTTTTCAAATTTCATAATGATACTATTTACTACTTATTTTGTGATGTTTCAGTAGTATACATTTACAAAGGAAAATGTATAT